CTTGATAACTCTTGTGACAGCTTGAACACGCTCTACTTGGTTTTCGAAATCTCTCTTTTTATTTGCTGTAAGTCGGTCTTCTGAGAACTTTTTCAGTTTCTCTAGGCGGGCTTCTATTTCATCCCAGTCAGCGTCAAATGATTCGTTGAATGCATCTAGCACATCAGGAAGTACATTGTTTGGGTCTTCCACGAAGTTGACTTCTGGGACAGTTGTGCTTCCTGATGGACCTGAAATGTTCACTGTACCATCATTTCCTTCGGTGAAAGTTGTTTCTTCTATTGCACGTCTCTCCATGAGATCCTTTACATAGTCCAGTTCACTTTTAAGATTGGTTATCACTATAGGGTCTTCACCATACATAGCCTCTCCCTTCACCCTTGTATCTAACCTACTAAAAGCTGTCGTTAGGTCATCATAACTGAGGTCGTCATATTGAGGATACGTCTTTTCTGCCTCCTCCATTTCATATTCGTCATAGTCCTCTGCACCCTCCATAATACTTTAACTTATGTTAGGGACTTGATGTCTCCAGCTGGTATCCAACTGTTAAATTTGTCATCATAACCTAACCACTTAACTAGGGCCATCTTTTTACCCTTTAATGTTCTTCTCCTCAATACTTTCTCTATCTTAAAATCAGGTTCTCTTCCTTCAGCGCTATACAGTTCTTGTTCATAGAATCTACCAATTATTGGTTCATCAGCACTGTCTTTTATTGTATACGTGTTTGGATGACCGTGATACACTTCCGTCACAGTGAACAACTCCTCTGTGAAATTTGCTTCGTACCCTTTTGTGAACACTGATTTGTACTTCGAGATCCTGACACTTTCTCCGACAGCAAACTTTGGTTCTGACGGCTTGCCTAAATTGTGACTAAAAAGTGTCTTCCATACTTCAGTCCAATTGGACTCATTTACACTGTCCGGTGTTGTTTTAATTGATCTGTTCACTGAACTGTTGTAATTATCGGTTAAGTCTTGAAGGACGTCTAACCATTTATATATACTAGCACTATAAAAGTACTTCCACATTAGCGCTTTCAGTGTTCTGTTAAATCTTTCCACAACTGCGGCCTTCTTGTCTGAGTAGGTAGAGAAAAACTCAATGTTATGTTTATTAAGCAATGACTTTACTTCTTTGTTGTAGAACTCTGTGCCCTGATCAAACTGGGCGAATTTTGGGTATTTACCAAAATGATTATTAAATTGCTCTAAAATGTTACTGACTGCGTCCTTCATTGATGTCGCGTTTTTCCTATACACTGGTACTGTGAATGCGTACCTACTTAGTATTTCAATGGATGTGAGAATCCATCGGTATCCCTTGTTCTTGTCATCATATTTTGTCATGTCAACTAAATCCATTTGTAACTGTTCACCTAAAGTTTGGACGTACGTCTGTCTGAACTTATGTTTCCTGAATACTTGTCTGTACCTAGTGTATGTGTCTTGCTCGTTTATCCATTTCTTGACCTGGTTTCTGGTTACTTTAAGTCCGTCTGATATTGCTCTCAGATATAGTTTCTCTGGTGTTTGGAATCCAGTCTTAGGATTGTAGTAAATATCTCGTAGTCCTTGTTCTTTCATAATATCGTCGTCCATCTTATATTAACCAATGTAAGCCATCTACTCAAGGTACATCTCAAGTAGCACTTCACCTATATCAATAGGTTTCCCGTCTTGATCTGTCATGTAGAATACAAGTTCGATCTGAGAAAGAACCCTTAATAACTGAAATCCTGCTTTCAACATCAATGTAACTAACAACTGAGCCTAATAATGGTCTGTCAGTTGGAACTGTAACACTTGTTATTACATCGCTGGGTCTTCCCCAAGGGTTAACGTTGTAACTGCTACTTACCAGATTGCAGTGTATATTTACACATCGTAGACCGTTATTAAAGTCAATTTTGCTATCACTTGTCAGACTCCTCCCTTTTAGTAGGATCATATGATTATTAAATCTATTAAAACCTAACATGGTCAGTAATCGTGTTTCTATTGTGATATCTTGTTTTACTGCTTCTATTTGGCATCCTGCGGTTTCAGCAAAGTAGGTTAGCTTGACACCGTGTCTTTCAAGTAGCTTCTTCATACTGTCAAATGTGTAGTAACCTTTATTAACAATTACATCAGATTCTCCATCATCTGTTTTCAATTTGAGAATAGTTGCTGGTTCCCTTATGTTGAAGTACTCCCAGAAAACTGATACTCTCTTCACAAAGACTGATTTATAGTTGCTTGTTAGGACTGAGTTCTGTAGTGATACAACTGTGTGCGAGCTCTGGAGTAAAATTGTGAACTTCATCTTAATAACATACGTTAGGTTATTAAGAATGAGACTAGGTGGAGGACAAGTTGGTAAGTCGCCGTATCGGTCGTATCAGGACTATGAAAAAAAGTATGAAGATCATGTTGATCCTGTTGCTGCTAAAAAGGCAGAGGACGCTGAGAGGGCTAGGTTTATGGCAAGTTATCCTTTTGCAGATATGAGAAGATTTAAATTTGAAGCAAAGGCTACTAGTAGTGGTGATATAGGAGTTATCACTTGGTTTGTTGATTTAGATGGTATATCTTCATATGATATTAGATATGACGGTTTCAAGAAGGATAAGGAGTTTACATCTTATCTCACAGGTACTAAGAAAATTATTACTCCCGCACAGTTTATACCTATGACTGACATAAAACAGCCTCCCATTGAGAAAGTACCTAAGGTGACAACACCTCCCCTTAAACCAAAAGGATGGCCACATCTTTGGAATAGTAATGGCACCGTTCAAAAATATAAACCTCTTGTCTTTCCAAAGGATCCTACTTACGATGAAAGAAAGTTGGGTCTCAGTCGAGTTCTAATTCATGATGACGGCTATCATATTAACACGTATCGACCTCCTCTAAGCCTTCCATACAACTTTAACAACTTTAAGATCTATGTAAATGAAAGCAGTTATTTCATGTCTAACTTCCCTGATGCTGGTGTAGGTTGGGATGAAGGTCCTAATTTAACTAATAAGGATGTAAGAAAAGTTTCCTTTAATACGATACCATACACTAGAATGTTGTCTGGCGCCTACATAGCTAGCTATCTCAGCGGTGTATCCTTAGAACACGTTCGTGAAAGTAATTCCATTCCTAAAATAATAACATCCATTATGAGGTACCATCTTTACTACACAACTAGAAAGTTAACAGTTAGTAAGGATGCTATTGATAGACTTGGTGTCAACCTTGACATTGTAAGAAAACACATTCCAATAAATCAAAATTATATTATTGACGGAAGTGGTGCTACAACTACTGCAGGACCATTGTCTGGTAGTGATTACCTTTCATTCATAGCTGAAAAAAGTAATGGCTTTACTAAGTTAGGCGTTGAGCTTATTCAGGAAAGCATTGAGTCCTATGTTTATGCTATGCTGGGATCTCAAGCTAATACAAGGTGGTCAATAGAAGGAAGCGGTCTGAAGGCTCTTCAAACACAACGTGACTTTAGAACTATTGTGAAGTCTACTATTTTACAAAGTAATACAGTAACAACAATTAGCAATATGAGGAAAGCTGTGAGGGACACCAATGTGATTCTAAACACTGCTCTATCCCCTGGAATAGTTTTAATCCCATCGAACTTTATTATTCTAAAAACTCCGATACTCGGTTATAATAACCTTCTAAAGACGGCAACTAATACAATGAAATTTGACGGCAACTAATACAAAATAAATTATGTCGGTGTTAAGCAAGTTGATCCTCCAAAGAAACAGCATCAAAATAGCACACCAGTTCACCACCTTGATACTCTCAGTGGAAACATGAAAGTTCCGGGGAGTTCTGTAAGTGTTGCACCTCCTAAGACTATCACACCTATCGCACAGCGTAATGTGGTTAGTACCCGTGAGTCCTTAGGTGATGGTGCTTTAGCTGGACTTGGTATCGGGTCTATTGCTGTGTTTCTTATATTGAGAACTGTTCTGTGAAACATTGTGTATGTTATAAAAATGGCTCTCTATAGGGGATACAACAAAGGAGTAAATAAAGTTGATCCATCAAGTGGCAGTGTGTTTGATAAGAATGGATTTACCATGAAGGGTGACATTGAGATGGATGGTAATGAGGTGAAGGGTTTAGGTGCACCTACAGATGATACGTCTGCGGTCACAAAAAAGTGGGTGGATGATGAGATCATTAAACAGGCTGCTGTTACAATTCAACCAGCAGGGTTTACAATGACTGGGGATATTGACATGGGAGGTAATAAGATAACTAATCTTGATAATCCTACTAATCCAGTTGACGCTGCTAGTAAGAGTTGGGTTGAAGGTAGTCGTAAACATATACATGTTAGTTTACCCGGTCTTATCCTTACAAATGATCTCAATATGTCAACCAATGAAATAAAGGCTTTGGGTGATCCTACAACTGGAAGTCTGCTGTTAGTAAGGACTGGGTCGTTGGGATGCTAAATAGACCTGTATCTGGACTTAATATTGCTGGTGACATTGACATGAAGAACCATGAGTTAAGAATCTTAAGGATTCCTCTGAGGATCAGTCTGCTGTCACGAAAAAGTGGTTTAGTTCAAATAGTGGAACATTTCTAAGGCTGGATGGAACTGGAGGTATTGGCGTTCGTGGTGTTATACATTTTCTTAACCCACCTTCATGTCTTAAGGATCCCCTCAGTTCAAGCTCCCTTGTAAATCGTGGATATATATCCGCCCAACTCCAATATTACCTAGAACTTGATGGTTCTGATGAAATGACTGGTTCACTTAAAATGGGTGGAAATGAAATAGAAAATGTTGGAGCTCCTAGTGCTGATGCATCTGCTGTCAATAAAAAGTGGGTAGAAGATAAGATTAGCGGTGGTAGAAGAAGGCGTGAAACTTACAGTGGACTTACCCTATCCGATGACCTTGATATGGGAAATAATGAAATAATAAAGTTAGGTGCTCCCACAACTGATAATTCTGCTGTATCTAAGAAATGGGTCACCAATCACGTCAGTGGAAGCTCAATTAGTAGTAGTGGCTTTAGTATGACAGGTAATATTGACATGGGTGGTCATAGTATAACAGGTCTTAAAGGTGGGTCGGTTGGGGACACCAGTGCACTTTCTGCTAATACTATATACTCCTGGTGTAAACAATTTCTGAAACCAAATAGTGGTACTCTTGATAGCGATCTTGATGTTAACGATTATGAGTTAACTAGGGTAGGTGATCCTACTACGGATGGTTCTGCTGTAAATAAGAAATGGGCAACTGATGAGTTCATGAGTAGTAGAGGTGGACTGGTAAAGGGTGATTTGGATATGGGAGATTCAAGTGGTATTCTTGATCTAAAGGATCCGGTAAATGATAAGGATGCAGTTAACAAGCAATGGGTAGAAAAGAATTTCCTAAAACCTTCCTCAGGTCTTGTACAAGCAGTGGCTGATAAGAGATACGTAAGAATAAACCGTCATATCTATTCAGAGTGGATCTGGGGTTATCGTGGTGTATCAGTTGCAGCAACAAGGTACTATGCTTACTGTCAAGATCAGATTCCACCTTCATGGAGAACAGATACTATTAATAATATGACAGACCTCAACCTTGAGTCAATTACTATTAAATCAGATTTCCCAACTCTTTCAACTGTTCTAAATATACCCTTAGGACTCATTCTGTGGGCTACTGTATGGGAAAAGCAGTCTAATGGAAAATTTACACAAGTCAAGAAGGAAATCGTTCTCAGAACAATAGACTTAAGAAGACTATCACACACTTACTTCAACGGAACTTACACAAGTAATGGTGGAAGTACAGCTTGCTATGTCTTCAAGGGTAATAGTATGTTCTATTTAGGAAACCAGGCTGAGTTGGTAGATAACACGCTAGCCTGGTCTATTATAGTTAAACCGGAACACTCAATGCCAACTGGTTCGAGTATGGACTTGTCTTTTTGCTGGTCATTGCGGTATTCAGGGTCAGGTGGATAACATGTGTTGTATCATAAAGTATCATGTCAAAGTGGCGCTCATGCTTCTCCTGTTTGGGTAATATCTGTGGCTGTCGTAGGAGGTCTAACAAAAATGGGAAGGTTGGTGATATAAATTTCTCTGTATCCAATGATATTAAGGTTGAGGTGACCACACAGGGTAAAAAGGATGACGCCAACAGTGTATCCGGACTACAAGGGCCCCCTGCCTTATGTACCCCCAAGGAGAGAATAAAAGTTGCCGAAGAGGCTTTAGAATAAACGAAATAGTTGATATTAGCAAGGTATAGGATTGCACTTAGAATAATCGTATTAGAGTCTCAGCTGGACTGGTAAGGCAATCCCGAAGCTTTGAGATAAGTTAAATGAAAAACAAGAATAGCAGTTTCACATTCCAATTAAATGAACCATGGAACTGCTGAAGTCTCGGGAACCCACTCATTAAAATGCGGGACCATTAATTTTAATATAATAATAAAAATAAATAATTAATTTTTATTAAAGGTAAAAAACTAGTGGTCTAGAAAAAAATAAACCGGTGGTCTAGAAAAAAACTAGTGGTCTAGAACCGGCAGTTCCTATACTACTGAAAGCATCACAGCAGGAATCTATCTCGTCAATGATTTTGAAAGTTCCTTTTTAGCAGTATGTCAAACCCGGTTGTGCTTTAAAGCTATTAACCCTATAATGCTATATATATTGTTGTCATTATAAATTTTGCAATGGCAAAAATTATCACTAAAATTATTGGTGAGTGAAGCAGAATCGCTATACGCTTTATAGTTGGCCCTCTACTGTTTCTTGTGTATATAAAATAATGACCTGACCCAGAACGTGTATGTTTAAACTTTTAGTTAAAACCGATATCGGTTTTATCTTTTACAGTAATTCAACAAAGACTAAGTACGACTTCTCTTGCGCTATATTTATGAACTACGTTAATTGTACTAAAATAACTTTGTCAATGCTTTGGTATATATAAGGTCACAGAGGACATGTGCAGTCATACAGAGTTATAATTTAAGCATGTAATATGAAGGCATTTAATATAGAGCCAGCACATACAACAAAACAAGCATGTAAATATTTTGAATCGTGATTGACCTAAAACCTATATACTATAGTCTGGTCTATACCCATGCCAATGGGAATGGGAAAAAGCAATGACAGAATCAATGCAAATTTGTCAAACATCTGTATGAATTGAGACGCGTATACCAAAATGATATAATACGCGAACATTTATTTACATAAAACTACGTGGACGTTAAAATATATATAAACACGTACCGTTAGCACTAAAGGTGAGAGTTCATAGATAAGATAATTAAGCCTTTTTAGTAAATACACTAAAATGTATCCATTTTATTTTGACAAATACATCTGATCTGTGCTATTATTTTAAAATATTAATATATAATACGAAGGACGGTTTTTAAAAATCACAATGTATTAATAATATCACTGCGATCAGTGATCACATATATTTAGCAAGAAACAGACGACAACAAGAGTCTAAATCACTGGTCAAATTGCCGCGAACCATATCATAGCCTATATAACGTTTTTTCGTAGTGTAATTGGTTTTATTTCAAATATAGAACTTCGAAAAATGCCAAATGCGATCAATAACTAAAATGACAAGTTCTATTATTTTTAGAAATGACTGTAGTTAATAACTCTGCCCCACATACCCACCCTAACGACAAATTACGCTATATCCCAAAATCTGGGATGTCACGTGACCATACCCGAACAGGGTCTCGCCGTTGCCGGTGTTTGGAGGGCGTGGCGGAGGTGAGACCCTGTGAAACAGGTTGGCCAACACCTTGCAAACCACACACTCAACAAGATACACTATATTACTGGAAGTGCACGTCAAATATTTTAAAGTAAGAATTATATTTCCAGTGGCAGCTGCACGAAAGGAATTGCCCAAAATCAAAAAGTTCTTACAACTATCACAGCGCTTGGCAATTGGCATCATATTTGTAGCAGCCTTGACCTTCCAGTTTATTGGGCTTATATGGGTTATATGGTGCTAATAACTCCTTCAAATTAGCATTACGCTTATACGAAACAAGAATGGCACTCTCCGGTAGAATGTTTTTAGCCTGTTCATCACTATCTAAAACAGAACGATGTTTACGATATATATATATATATATATATATATATATATATATATATACATATATATATATATATATATATATATATATATATATATATATATATATATATATATATATATATATATATATATATATATATATACATATATAATTTTTTATACATATATACATATAACGAATTTTTTTTCGGCATAGGTGCATGGTGCTAAATTAGTATCCGGTCCCTATATTTCTAAGATTGTATGTATTATGTCTTTCATTATTAATTTGAAATGCTTCTTTAAGACTGGATGCGGTGTGGCCATTCAGAATTTTATAGATGAAAATAAATTTAAAGTGGAAGTCAAGTCCGTTCTGCGCATCGGTTCTGCTCATAACAATGTGAGGACCCTCTGATGTAAACATTGCCCAAATTTCGAATGTTTCGAATTTTTCTGAACATAAACTCTATTTCATATTCATTTAGAAGCATAGCGAACCAAAATAGTGTTAGATATTCAGACAGTACATCATATTTAAAAAAAATACAGCAGTTCAAAATGTAAACAAACCGTTTGTTTACATACGGACTTGACTTCCACTTTAACAACTCTTTGCCGACCGTATGGTTTCGCATTACATTACGACTTAATTTTTCTATTGTAAATATCTCGGCGAATATTTACCCCCCTTTTAAATAAAAGCCACCATTGAAACCCTTACAAAATAATCTTTCGAACGGGGGGTCAAGTGCCGTCAAAACATTACACAAACCGAAACAATCATATATTTACTCACCGCTTGGCCAAAGATTCTGAATTTCATATCCAGATAATCTTGAATATCTCTTGAACTTTTCGTCATGTCTGAGCGGCTATATGTGTAAAATACTCTTTGTATTCAAGCACTTTCGTGTACAAAATTTCGTTTGAATACGGCGAGTAGAAATATTTATTGAATTTTCAAGATGCGGGTTTTACTCGCACTTGCGTACATTGCGCAATAATTGGCCAATAAGAAGCTCCTGTAGCCGGGATGACGTCAAACTCACGCGTGTAGGGGCAATTTGACCTGTAGAATCATTTCTGGCATTTGCAAGGTCATACGATACAAACGTCGCATTGTTTTGACGGTTTTCAGTCGTACTTCCGGTTGGGATTAACTCACTTCGAGCTCACAGTCGGACAAGAAATGGAAATATATTGATAAAATATACAGATTTGAATATACAGGCTTGCAAATAACACTCTAAATAGTGTTTTTGATGGGGATTCGAACAAGACTATTACAAAGACAATATGTTCGGCAGGGCAGAAGTTATTTTCAGCGAAAGGTATGGCTAAGTTTATATTTTTGTTCAGACAATTGCGTAATTTGATACAATATGATCGTGTTTGACTTCAAAGGCCCATAATTCATAAATCGCTACAAAATTGATAATGGCTATAGCTATAGTGACGAATTAGTTGAATCTTTTATTTCTGAATCGAATGGTGGTATTTCTGTCTTCATAGCATGCACCGAACCGACGATATGAACATCCAAACATTCATCCTCTCGCGGATGAATGATTTGGGCTGGGTTGGTAAAGAGTTAAGATAATTTCGTCTTTCTTCGAAAGGTTTCCAATTTAGATTATCGAGTAACTCAGATGACCGAATATCGTAATTACTCTTGCAGCACGATTTTGGTATTTTTGCAACCTATATCTTTGAGCCCAATTCCGCAATTATCCCATAACGGGCTGCAATAATCGAAACTAGGCTGTATATAATAGCATTATATAACATTTTGGTTGTCGACAGTGGTACAAAAGGTTTAACGCGTCTCATTGCACCAATACCGGCACCAACCTTAGAACAGATAGAATCAATATGTCCAAGACAACCTTTCGTCCATAGTCACGCAACGAAAAATACACAAGAGTAACTGTAACCGAATATCCAGCATAATTATGAATCTATAATAATTCGCATGACTGCTTCTGCCTTTTAGGCAGTACTTGTAATGCATTTTGATCTGATACAATACATACGTTGGTTTAAGACAGCTAAATCATCATCAGTCATATCTCTTTTATCTTCCCAGTCAGCCCCTGCCAATGTTAGTATAATACGTATTGGTTCAGCTCTTGCTCGGACAGGAAAGTAAGTCAGTTTGTAACGACGTGTCGACATGATTAATCACAAACACTACTCACTTATTAATTATTATTCATGAATTCTACTTGAAATTGCTGGGGACGAGGGTGGTCATACAGCAATGCCAATGAACAACAGATGCAGCGATATACGCTCGTCCCTTATACTCTTATATGATAATTTATATTTAAGAACGAACTTTCTCTAAGCCTCATGTTAATAATATATTTTGTGTTCAATGTATAGACCACAGTATTCAGCAAGACTTTAACAGACTTGCGCATTATAGTTTAAATTCAAACAGTGTAATCTTAGGCTATCTACCTGAAGAGTGGGGTGTTACAAACTGACATCTCGCGTGCTTTACTGAGACGTGGCTGAAGGAGTCAATCCCATTCGAAATTCTCAGCCAATACCATAATGATCAGTTCGAAGTCTTGTGGGTTAAAGCTCGTCCTCACAAATTGCCGAGTGGCTTATCTTGCATTATCATTGATTCAATTTACCATCCACCCTCAGCAAATGATAGAAATATGATTGACTTCCTAACTGAACAATTGTCCCTTATCGAATCAACTTATTACAATTGTGGTCTTATTCTACTTGGAGACTTTAATAATCTTAATTGTCATCGTCTAAATAACCACTTCAGTCTAAAACAATTGGTTAAATTCCCGACTCGTGGAACGAGAACCATTGATCTAATTCTAACTAACTTGGCTAAATTTTACCTACCGCCAGTTAAACTTCCACCTTTTGGTCTCTCCGACCATTTTACTATCCTTTCGACCCCTAAACACAAGGCCGCATGCAGGAAGAACAAAATATGATATTTCTCAAGTTCGCAACCAACACCCGAGAAACAAAGCAGCTATCAGCACCTTCATTACTGAATTTGACTGGTCAATCCTTGATTCCCTTTCGTCATGTGATAAAAAATGGTCTGCCTTTGAATCAATTATTCGGTTTGGGATGGACATTCTCCTTTCCACAAAAACTATAAAGAAACGGCTCGATGACACACCTTGGATGACCCAACATTTGAAATCCTTAATTCAGCAACGTCAAAAAGCATTAGCGAAAGGACATGACCAGTTATTTAAAAGTCTTCGTAACCGCGTCAATAGGGAGCGAAAACAATGCCGGAGTAAATACTATGACTCAAAAGTCAGTCAACTTAAAGTCTCTGATCCCAAACAGGGTGGAAATCTGTTAAGTACCTGTGTGGAATGGATCCAGTCAACCACAAGTATGATCTCCGACATCTTCAAAGCCTGTCATCCACTGGTGATGAAACTAATGAAACCAACGAAGGCAACGCATCTCTTTCACACTTGGCGAATACCATAAATCAAACCTTCCTAGAACCAATAAACACGTTCCGACCTCTAAATTCTGACCACTACCAAGCCTTAAACGTGTCCAGCACTAGTAACCAATTACCATCTACAATTACCACCACAGAATCGTATATTTTCGAGAGATTATCCAGTATAGTACCTACGAAGGCTCATGGCCCAGACACTATATTCCTGGTTGGCTTCTCAAAAAGAATGCCGATGTACTAGCTAGTACCGTGTGCAAGATTCTCAATTCTTCTTATCTCGAAAATCGTTTACCCACTGCTTGGAAGTTGGTAGATGTAATTTCCATTCCAAAACAGAAGCATGTACGAACTGTAAACAAGGATTTAAGGCCCATTTCGTTAACACCAATAGTCTCAAAACTAGCCGAGGAAGTGGTAGTTGAACAGTTCATTAAACCGGTGATTCTCAAAGTGGTGGATCCTAACCAATATGGAACAGTGCCGAAATCATCTACCACGCAAGCTCTTATTAGCATAGTCAACAATGTTGCTAAAGCCACTGATGGCAACGGGGCCTTAGTTAGACTTGTCCTATTGGACTTTAGGAAAGCATTTAATCTCATCGATCATCAGTTGCTTATGGTAAAGCTCCACTCTCTGGACGTTCCGCCGAGTGTTATAAATTGGGTAAGAGATTTTTTGACAAATCGTCAACAAAGAGTAAAGTTAGCCAATGACTGCTATTCAGAATGGTCCCTAGTCCCGGCAGGTGTACCACAGGGAACCAAACTCGGTCCTTGGTTATATATTCTTATGATCAATGACCTCAACACAGTCAGTAACAACCTCTGGAAATACGTAGACGATACGACTTTAGCCGAGGTAATACCCAGAGGAGGGGATAGCAATATTCAATCTGCGGTCGATGACATCCAAAACCAATCCAACACCCTGAAATTTACCCTCAACGAGGACAAATGTAAAGAGATGCGAATACAATTTAGCAGATACAACACTAATTACCAGCAGCTTCCCCTAGTGACAATCAACGGTAAACAGGTAGACTTGGTCTTCCAAAGTAAAGTTTTGGGTTTGACTATCAGCAGCGACCTTAAATGGAATAGTCATTTGATAATATTGTTAAAAAGGCATCCAAGAGATTGTACTTTTTGCGACAATTGAAACGTGCCAAAGTATCTACCATCGAGACGATGTGTTTCAGTGTTTCTACTGCACTTGTATCCGACCAATTGTCGAATACGCATCTCCTGTCTTTCATTATGGAATTCCCATATATCTGTGTAAAGACAAAGCGAAGAGCCATGAAAATCATAAATTCAGCGAAGAGCCATGAAAATCATATTTCCCACCAAATCATATGCCGAAGCGCTCTCCCATTCTAAGCTTCTAACTCTTGAAGAGAGACGTCAAATTGCGTGCGACAAACTCTTCAAAGAAATAATGGAAGATAAAAATCACAAATTGCACCCACTCCTACCAGACCCGAATACTGACGTAGCGTATTCCCTGAGAACTTCGAGAACTTTTAAAATTCCTAAATGCAAGACTGAACGATTTAAAAGTCTTTTATAATTGCTGCTAGTTCTAATAATGAAAGCAGCAGTCTCTGAGGATTTTATATATTTCGAAAATAACTGTTAATTTTAACTGTAATTATATATTCTTAAATACGTTAATAGATAGTATTATTAATTGAAATAGACAGTCCCATTAACTTAAAGTTACAATTATTCTTATTATGTTCAGTATTTTTAATCAGTAATAGATAGTATAATTCACTTAAACTTTTCTTTTGTAAATTTAACCGTTGTAATTCAGCCTCTTGGCTGCAAGATCGGTTTTTGAATGAATTGTAAATTGATCGGTTTTTGAATAAATTGTCTCCGAGCCGACGGCGCGAAGCGCCGTGCGAGGGTACTAATTCCCCCCGGCTATCTACACCCGGGCAAACGAAAGCATTAGCGAAGTCTAAAGTTCATCAAATATCGCGGGCGTGGGTCACCAACCGTGGGTGGTCATCCTCACTGATCTCAAAAATATGGCGGACTGTCATGAATAACGAACACTGTGATTGGTCCAATTTAAAGTTTGCATTTTAACGACTGCACGACGACAGCGAAATAGCAAACATTTCTTTATTTGATGATTGATAAATTTCTTGCAAATATATTTCATTTTTGCTCGCATTTTTGCAAGATTTTGTAAATTTCAAGAAAGAAATGGTGAAAGAATCGGCTAAAAGAAGGGAGCCGACGTTAACAAAGGTAAGTTTGTTTTAAGTATTGATTTTATAACTGCTTTAAAACCCGACGGCCTTTGCGTATATGAAACAACTAAACAAGACAGCATATCGGATCCCATTTCAGTGTATCTTTAATATTGATTCCCTTTTTTATTATATTGAATTTTTTTAAATAAAAAAGAAAGCAAAGTTATTTGCATGCGAGAATTTGAAATCATTTTATTGCAAACTCAAAGTTTATCGATAAAGCCATTTAATTAAAGAATAAAGGCAGTTTAGTTTTATAAAGAACACTTAAAACGTTTTGCGAAGCGTTTGTGATTGAATTTTACCTTAAATTGAAGCTTATATTACGTATAATATCATACCTAACATATATATGTTGGGAAATTTATAATTTTGTAATTAAAATGATTTGTAAGAATATTCTTAAGAAATTATCGTGTTACCATGACAACTACTTCAGATACTTCATGTTCGGAAAATACAATGATTTTGTCAGCAAGGCGAGGGTTTCTGCATGCATGTATTTTCTAGTAAAAATTGTAATTGTGAATAAGGAGTATACAAATCCGCCGATCCGCCCAAATTTGAAAATCCGCCGTTGTCTAAATTTGCCTTCGCTAAAAGCGGTGGCCGGACATAATTTTGCCGAAAGACACTTTGCCGAAAGACATTTTGCCGAACGGACATTTTGCCGAACGGATATAGAGATATTTTTTGAACTTTAAACTGCTCGTAGTACACTATCAAAGTTTCTGTGATTAAAGTCTTTGAAAAACTGAGTCATTCTTGACTTTGATGACAGAAACATTGATAGTGAATTAACATGTTTCGTCTTGATTTACAGCTGAGAATAACATGATTCATGAATGTTAAGGTAAAAGTTTATTATGTAAGCCATAAGGTATATATTTCATAAAAAGCATATATATATTATCGTACATATTTTGTGCATGAAAAGCTAATTATAACCGGCACGATGTTGCAATGCTAGCTGACACTGCTCTTTGGGTAGCCTGCTCCTGCGACTTTTATTGATATTTTTTCAATACGCCCCCTTTGAGATAATTGAATATCCTGTAAATAGTAGCCAATCAAAGTAAGTTTTGTTAATTAGATTACCAGAGGTTATTAAGGGGCGGACCATTAGAAATCCCGGGAGGGGGGGTATAAAATTTTTGCGGCACGAATTTTTTTTTCAGTCTCATGTGTCTGCAGGAATTTTTTTTAATGCACTTAACCTCTGCACGAATTTTTTTTCCCACCACTACTTGTACTTTGTTCATGCCGACCCCCCCCCGTCGCCAAAAAAAAATTTCGGTCAGTCTACCATTTTAGGGGTCAAAAATTTTTTCCGGACATACCACATACCAAAAGTTACCCCAAAATTGACAGAATTTGTTAATTTTGCCCGACTGCCAACTGCCCGGTACACCCATGACTTTGCTGTTTGCTTGCACAAATTTTTTCCCCTGACGTTATGGCTGCACGAATTTTTTTTCCAGGCATTTTTCTTTGCACGAATTTCTTTTTGGGAATTTTCACCCCCCCTACCGGGATTTCTAATGGTCCGCCCCTAACAACAACAAACAGTTTCTCGCGCAATTTTACGCCTGTATCTTTCACTAGGATTCCAAGGTCTAAACTTTAATCTAAAATAATGCATGGTCGTTTTTTCCCTAAAGTGTTCTAATATTTAAAACATAGTCCCGTTTGTATATTGCTGTCTTGTTCCGTATACATTGCCGTTTTAAATTATGTAACTATACTAAATATAACTGTAACTAAATATATAAAATTTTATTCTCTATTAGTTAATGTATTTTATACATTTATATACATTTATATCCAAAATATAACTGTACGATTTAAGGAAACGTATTTAGGTTTTGAACAAACACTATTTATTAAAAGTGTCGAACAATAGCAGGCTAAAAAACAAGGTTAATCATTATTGCGTGAAGTCTGTCATTTGCTCAATAATACAATTAACTCAATATAAGGCCAAATAAAAAAAAATACTTGGTTAGCGTCACCGCCCGCCTCTCGATTTTCTGCCGCCTCTGAATTTATTTTTTTTTTTTTTATGTAAATCTCTTCGTTTTACAGCTTAAAACAGTTTAATATTTGAAATTTTTCTCATGCTCAGACCTTCGCGCTATATACTGATCGATAAGAGCGCGTAGGCTTGGGTATACAAGGTTCTTAAAGCAAAATGGCGGCCTTTGCAACATCAGTACAAAAAGTATCACCGATATGGTGGAAAATCCGCCCCCCATCCCCTCCAAAAATACTATTAAAAAATTAAAAAACGAGTAAAAATTAAAAAAAAAATCCGCCCGCCCGCCTCTGAAAATTTGTGAGAGTGTGACGCTAACCAAGTATTTTTTTTTATTTGGCCTAACTGTAACTAAATATATAAAATTTTATTCTCTATTAGTTAATGTATTTTATACATTTATATACATTTATATCCAAAATATAACTGTACGATTTAAGGAAACGTATTTAGGTTTTGAACAAACACTATTTATTAAAAGTGTCGAACAATAGCAGGCTAAAAAACAACATTAATCATTATTGCGTGAAGTCTGTCATTTGCTCAATAATACAATTAACTCAATAGACAATAGACAATTTGAAAACCCGTGGCCGCGGCATCGATTCTGCCGTGTTTAATAACTACATTTTTTTAAAAAAAGCTCTTGTTGTAATAATATATGTCACTAGTTGAGACTCCCAAAAATAAAGTCTCAAAGAGAGAGCGGACTTCGGTCAAAAAACACGCAAACGACTATTGCAAAATTTCCAGGTGTAAATTCAAATTGGCCAGGTGTTCTAAGAACGACTTTCCACGACGGCGTCTGTTTTAATAATTTGCCCATTGTCTTGACTTATTCAAGGCCAGATTGTTTAGGCAGAAAGCCTTGGGTTGACAGGGAAGTATTTGGGAGAAATGTTCGGAGGCATTTGACAATCAGTTGCTTTATACTAGCTGATTCACTGCCTGTGTCTCAACGAACGTCTCGCTGGGCTATTAAGTTGTTCAACGTTTGAAACCGCAAGTGATGCAAACGCGGTTAGATAAATTGTCAGCCTGAACTAGACTTATTTTACTCTCTCTGCAAAGATCAGCAAGGCATACGTCGAAGTTTTCCCTTGTACTTCTTTGGAAAAGGTTTATAGCTGACGAAGACAAAGTATTGGTATATTAAACTTTTATCAAATCCCGTTGGAAGTACAGTTAATATTGCTAACCTTCGCTCATCCTTCAACGTTAATTTACTAATTGAAAGTTTCTCAAATACATTCAGTTACTTCTTCGAAGAGATAAACAAAGTCATGGTTTTATACGCCACTGATTGAATGCCAGCTTTAAAATTACATGCGAAATGTCGTACGAGTTAAATATTTGCACGATATTAACTCATGGGGCACTTCTGACCAATGGGAATTTTGCGTACGCTCCGTACGCATAAATCGACTTTTTACTAATAAAGGTCGCAGGCCGTTAATCACAGCCTCTGCATGACAACGGCCTGCGAGCAGGCTACTCTTTGGGCAGCCACGCGAGATGGATCAGGCGGATGCGAATGCTCTGATGATTACTGCCATAACTAGGTTTCCACTATAGAGTTGAAAGTCTACCAGAGCACCACTGCAATTTGCAAATTTGCGATTCAGTTTCCCGAGAACTGCAAATGTGCTCCATGACCGATGTTCATGATTCTCGAAATGAAATTTGCTTACGCCGCTGCCATTTTATACGCTTGTTTGTTTACGATCTGACGTCAAAACACGTTCCTAACAGATGAGTCATCCGCTCAACAAACTATCGATATGGACACAGATGACATATATACCAGATGTGTAACTTAATAGGATTTCGTGTCCTCAAATTTCCCTAGATATACACGTCATGCTCACGCCATGACACTTGCTAGGAAAATGGCGTCCTGGAGAACATGAACTTTTGCATTTTATTGCGGCTTTCTTGGATCGAAATTTATGGATTAAACAATCAAGAGCATCATTTGTTGAATGTTTAAAGTTGTTAAAAGCAATTAAAGTTGTAGAAAAGGTGTTGAAAACATTTTTGAAGACAATGACGTACTACCAAATGACGAATAATCACGCGAGCGGCACTTGCTAGGAAGATGGCGACCACGGGACAACTTTTTTACTGAAGTTACACATCTGTCCTTACTTAATCTATGATATGGATATTCACTGCTAATGACTCACATGACAATTGAGTCACCGTCCCAAACAATTTATTATTATTAATTTTTGTGTGTTCCCATATGCGGGCTTTTCAACACTCAATTACAAAATTATTACAAATATGTATATATAATGTAAAATTATGTCTTAATTAAATACTAACTATATAATATGTTCTATATTTAATTATAATAAAAATGATAGTCCAGTTCTGACTGTTCTGTATTTAATACAAGTTAAAATTTCCATATACCGTATGCTAGAATATTAAAATATACTATTATGAAACTGTCTTATTAACTAGTTGTTCTTTTAGTTTCTTCTTAAATTTATAAAAGTTTGTGATCTGCTTCAGTTGAATCAGTTCACTGTCCAAATCATTCCATATTTTCACTGCCCTATAATAGAATGTTCTCTGTGCTGAAGAGGTCTTGAAAGATGGTATGTCTAGACTGTCATGATATCGAGTTGGTCTGTTATGAATACTGAGTGTTTAACGAACTTATTTGTAAGATAACTCGGTGCCAGATTATTGAAACACTGTATCTCTATACAAGAGTAGGCTAGTAATTCTATGGGAAGCCAGATGAGTTCTTGTAAACTGGGTGTAATATGATCAAACTTTCTAACTTGTAATGATCCGGGCTGCAAAATTTTGAACTGTTCGTAATTTTTTGATGTTCTTTAGCCGACGTATTTGACCAAATCGGGGAACCGTATGTCAATTTGTTAATCACCAACATCTCGACAATTGATTGCAAAGTTTTAACATCAAAGCTGTCTTTCACTCGGTTTATTGGTTAATTTAGAAATGTTTGGTCACTCGGTTTATTAAGTTAAATTAGAAATGTGCTCATTATATGATAAATTTGAGTCAAATGTAGTTCCCAGATCTTTGGCCGACGTTACAGGATTCATAGTCTGTTTCAAGAAATTTAAAGATATATTTGCAGGTAAATTCTGTAACATGGGTCTCGAACCGATAAGGAGGAATTTAGTTTTGTTTGGGTTAATCAGCAATTGATGTTCAAAACACCACTTGGCTACACTGCGAAGATCGACTCCAACTTGATAATTGTTTGTTTTGTGTCTTTCATACTGAACGTCAGAAAAAGTTTTGAGTCGTCGACGTAGGAGTCGATATTGCTTGACAGTGGGATCGCTGGAATATGTCATTAATTTTGTATAAATACAAAACAATAATGGTGATAGGATGGTGCCCTGTGGCACGCCATGAGACAGTGGAAGGACGGATGATACTGTGGATCCAATACGTACATATTGTCTTCTACCTGACAAATAGCTCTTAAACCATCCGACAGCTTGCGAAAAAACGCCGACACATTTCAATTTATGAAGGAGAATTGGATGGCTTACCCTGACGCTGTCAAAGGCTTTTGACATGTCTAATAAAACTACTGCCGTTACGTTCTTTTTATCGATTGCTTCCAACATTGTGTCACTTACGAGAATGTTTAGAGTCTCGGTGGAGTGGGCTTTCCTGTTTCCGCTTTGATGAGGTGATAAACGATGGTTGGTTGTTAAATATGAGCTGAACTGATCTAGAGCGACTCTCTCACAAACTTTTGACATAATATTTCTAAGAGTGTTATTCGAGGCAACTTCGTTATCACCATCTTTATGTAGTGGTGTTACTTCGGATAATTTCCATTCGTTAGGGAACACGCCTGTCAGCAGGGAAGAGTTTATAATGTGCGTAAGAGGGCCCAAGATCAGACTGGCAAACAGTCTCTAATGATACGCATGTTTATCTTGTCTGGGCCTGGTGATTTATTTTTGTGGCTAGCCCGTTCGCGGGCTAGCCACTATGATACGGGATGAGCGGTGGTGGTCGGTCAACGATGTCTGTCCGGATTGTCGTGAAATTATCGTGAGCGGAAGTGAGGCCGACAGTATGGCGATCGTTTGTTTCGTGGTTTCGGTTATCATCGGAAATTTGGCGGAAGTGATGAGGCCCGACAGTTTGACGATCGGTTATTTCGGTTTTCATCGGAAATTTTTGAACTTCATGCCTGATGCTGTTTAAAAAAATACGAAAATTTTGCGAACGATAAGAGAAGTTCTACAAAAGGTAAGTTAGGAGAAATCAAGGAGATTTTGATCACGCTTGATATAAAGCTTTATATAGTGAGTTTATAATCCTGTTTATAATCAAACGTTCTTGCACAGATCTTGAATTTTTATCCATTATGTGGGTAAATTTATAAGAAGCAAGCCCATTGTTTACATATTTTACAACGATACTAAAACCGCCCTATCCACTTGCAGGTATAAAACTACAATTAACACAGAAAACAGGCGGGACTATTTTATGAGTTTATGCTAATATAGTCTATTGTAGTCACTAGCCTGGAAGCTCAGTCTGTTTACATACAGTTGAAGGATCTTCTAGATGGAAGTAATTGAGTGAAAATGTATTATTTTACATTCATTAGACCTATTAAACCAGGAAATGCAACTGTAGGTGCAGTTTATTTTTGGATATCTAGTCCAGATGTAAATAACATATATCTGATCTAGGATCAGCAGGGACGTAGAGACACGGGCGTGTGTGTGTGTGTGTGTGG